CTCTACGTCTTCCCGCCCTGCGGCGTTGCCACGTGGCGAACAGAATGGCGTATCTATTTTCGCCCCCCCCTCCAGAGGCTGTCACGCGGCGAGTAGAGTGGGATTGTATGATTGTCTCGGTCCGCGGGGCATTGCCACGTGATTACTTATACTTTTTGTTGTTCCCCATGTCGCCTGGATGACGTCGCTCCGGAAGAACTCGTGTCGGAAGAAGTCGCCCGGTATTGCAGCGTAATGGGTCGAGCGGAGGTTTTTTGCTGTTGGTTCCCCGTGTCATTGCCACGTGGCGAGTGGATTGGGATGGTATTTCTGTCTGCCTTTCAGGTCAGGTCTTGCCACGTGGCGTTGCCACGTGGCGAGAAGAATTGAGTTGCGTGAGTTCCCGGCCTTCTTCGTTGCCGCGTGCTCAGGCGCTGCCACGTGGCAAGTACAGTGGAGTACTAGTTTCCGCCCTTCGAACGTTGCCACGTGGAACGGAGAGTGGAGCAGTATCTGTTTCGCTCCCTCGGCGTAGCCACGTAGCGTGCGCGAACTGGCGCGCGCGCGCGTGGGCGGGCGGGCGGGCGGGCGCGCGGGCGGGCGGGTGGGCAGGCTGGCGGGCGGCAGTGGCGGCGGCCGCGTTGGCGGCGTGCTTGTCATCACCAGCATCATCTTCATCATGTTCATCATGTTCATCATCATCATCATCATCATCATCATCATCGTCATCGTCATCGTCATCGTCATCATCATCATCATAATTATCATCATCATCGTCATCATCATCATCATCATCATCATCGTCATAATCATCATCATCATTCTCATTATCATTATCATCATCATCATCATCTTCATCTTCATCTTCATCTATATTCATCTTCATCTTCATCTTCATCTTCATCTTCATCTTCATCTTCATCTTCATCTTCATCCATCTTCATCTTCATCTTCATCTTCATCTTCATCTTCATCTTCATCTTCATCTTCATCTTCATCTTCATCTTCATCTTCATCTTCATCTTCATCTTCATCTTCATCTTCATCTTCATCTTCATCTTCATCTTCATCTTCATCTTCATCTTCATCTTCATCTTCATCTTCATCTTCATCTTCATCTTCATCTTCATCTTCATCTTCATTCTTCATTCTTCATTCATCTTCATCTTCATCTTCATCTTCATCTTCATCTTCATCTTCATCTTCATCTTCATCTTCATCTTCATCTTCATCTTCATCTTCATCTTCATCTTCATCTTCATCTTCATCTTCATCTTCATCTTCATCTTCATCTTCATGTTCATCTTCATCTTCATCTTCATCTTCATCTTCATCTTCATCTTCATCTTCATCTTCATCATTATCAACATCATCATCATAACCATGATCATCATGATCATCGTCATCGTCATCGTCGTCGTCGATGTCGTCGTTGTCATTGTCGTTGCCATTGTCGTTGTCAGTGTCGTTGTCATTGTCTTTGTCATTGTCGCTGTCATTGTCGTTGTCATTGTAGTCGTCGCCGTCGTCGTCGTCGTCGTCGTCGTTGCCGTCGGCATCGTCGCCCGTAGTCGTTATCGTCGTCCGTCGTCGCCGTTCTCGTCGTTGCCGTCGTCGTCGTCATCGTCGTCTGCGTCCGCGTTGGAGCTAGGCGCCGAATAGAATTTGGTGTTCGCTTCTGCGGCGTTGCCACGTCGAATGCAACACAATTGCGGTTTGGCAACGTTTCGCGCAAAGTTGTTTTGCATTTGTTCGCCATCCTGTCGCTGCCCCGTCGCGAAAGGAGTGTCGCTCTATGTGTTCCGGCCCCGCGGCGTTGCCACGTGGCGAATCTAATGTAATCTTCATGTTCGCCCCCCCCCCCCCCCCCCCAGACGCTGCCATGTGGCGACAGCAGTGGGATTGTCAATGTTCGGTCCGCGCGGCATTGCCACGTGATGAGTTGAGTGTATTTCTGCTTCTTGTTCGCTCCCCGTACCGTTGCCACGTGGCGAGTTGAGTGGGATGGTACGTTGTCTGTACCTTTCAGGCCTTGCCACGTGGCGTTGCCATGCGGCGAGTACAGAGGAGTAGCATTTGCTGCCGCCCCGCTTCGTTGCCACGTGCCGATTCGACTGGAGTACTTCGGTTTCGTTCCGCAGGCGCTGCCTCGTGGCAGGGAATGTGGAGCAGTATTTGTTTCGTTCCCCCGGTGTTGCCACGTGACGGGTCGAGCGAACAAAAATGTGTTCCGCCTAGCAGGCGTTGCCAATTGACGAGTCGTGGAGTGGAGCAGTTTGTGTTTCGCTCCCCCGTTGCTTCCACCTGGCAACTCGCGCGGAATAGTATCAGTGTCAGTCCCGAAAACGTTGCCACGTCGCCAGGAGAATGGGGTAAAACATTTGCTCGCCCCTCTAGGCGTTTGCCACGTGGCGAATACAGTGGAATAGTTTCATTCTCTGGCCCTCAGGCTGTGCCGCGTGCCGAGTAGAGGGACGAGGGAGGAGGGATGACGAGAGAGGAACGAAAAGGGAGGGGTGGTGACTAGGGAGGAAGCAGGAGGGAAACGGTTGAAGGAACAGGAGTAGGAGGTGAAACGAAGGAGGGAAGAGGGAGGAACGAGGATGGGAAACGAGGGAGAGGAGGCAAGAGGCAGGAGGACTGATGATTGAGGAGGAATGAGAGGAGAATAAGAGGCCTGGGAGGAAGAGCGGGCAGGTGGAGGAGGAGGACGAGGGGGAGCGAGGAGGGGGCCAACCCTCGGAAAAAGTCGTCCAGAAGAAGTCGATTGGAAGAGGGGGCCTGGACGAAGGCGCCCCAGAATACGTCACCATCGGAAGAATGTGCCCAGAAGAACTCTTCCGGAAGAAGTCGCCCAGAGGAAGAGGTCGCCCAAGAAGAAGTCATCATCGGAACAAAAACTTCGGAAAAACGCTTCCAGAAGAAATCGTTCGGAAGAAAACGCTTCGGAAGGACACACCTTCGGAAGAATTCGCCCGGAAGACCTCCTCGGAAGAAGTCGTCCGGAAGAAATCGTTTCGGAAGAAGTCGTCCGGAAGAAGTCGTCCGGAAAACGTCGTTTGGAAGAAGTGGTCCGGAAGAAATCGTCCGGAAAAAGTCGTTCGGAAGAAGTCGTCCGGAAGAAGTCGTCCGGAAGAAGTCGTCGCGGAAGAAACCGTGCTAGGAAGAGACCGTTATAGGAAGAGAACGTCGCGGAGCAGATCGACGGAGAATGGCGGGAAAACCAATGAGTAGGAGGAGGGGGTGGATGACGCACGACGAGGCGGGGGAGAAATTTTCGGACGAAGTCGCTCGAAAGAAATGGTTCGTAAGAAGTCGTCTGGAAGAAGTCGTCTGGAAGAAGCTGTTCGGACGAAGTCGTCCGGAAGAAGTCGTCGTCGGAAGAAGGGGTCCGTAAGAAATCGTCCGGAAGAAGTTGTCCGGAATAAATCGTTCGGAAGAAGTCGTCCGGAAGAATTCGGCGCGGAAGAAACAGTAGGCTTTCTATGTGCATGCGTGCGTGTATTTGCATTTGCCTTCGAATTTGCATGCGTATGCGTACGTGTATGTGTATGTGTATGAGTATGTGCACTGATGTATGTATGTACGTGTGTGTTGAGCAGGATATTTTCGTATTTATCATATCCGTATGTATGCATGTGTGCATGCATGCATGTAGGTATGTGATGTATACGTGTGTATGTATGTATGTCTGTAAGTATGTATGTTTGTATGTACGTATATATGTATGCATGAATGTATGTATGCCTGTATGTGTGTATGCATATATGTATGCATGCATGTGTTACTGTGTGGATGTATGCACATATATATATATATCCATTCATGTATGTGTATGCCTGAGTATATGTATCAGTTTATGTATGTATGTATGCATGTCTGCCCAGGTGAATACTTATGTATGTATATAGGTATGTATGCATGTGATGTGATTAGGTATGTTTGTATGTAATGAATGTAGGTATGTATGTATGTGATATGTGTATGTGCATGTGTATGTATGTCTGAAAACATGTATGTATGTATGTGTAGGTATGTACGCATGCATCTATACGAATACATATATATATATATATATATATATATATTCGTATGTATATACACATGTTTGTGTGCACATATGTATGTATGTCTGCATGCACGCATGCATGCATGTATTTATTAATTTATGTATGTATGTAGGTATGTACGCATGCATGCATGTATGTATGTATGCATGCATGTATGTATGTTTGTAATCATGTATGCAACTATCTGCGCATGTATGTATGCATGCCTGTATGCATGCATGTATGTATGTATGTATGTATTTATGTATGTATGTATGTATGTATGTATGTATGTTTGTATGCAGGTCTGTATGTACATATGCATGTGTATATATGCATGTTTGTATGTAAATAAACGTGTGTATGCATATACGTATGTATGTATGTATACATGCATGCATGTATGCATATATGCATGTATGCATGCACGCATGTATGCATGTATGCATGTATGCATGTATGCATGTACGCATGTATGTATGTATGCATACATGTATGTATGTATGTATGTATGTATGTATGCATGTATGCATGCATGCATGTATGTATGCATGTATGTATGTATGTATGTATGTATGTATGTATGTATGTATGTATGTATGTATGCAGGTTTATATGTATGTATGCATGCATGCAGATATGTATGTGTGTATGCATGCATGTATGCATGTATGCATGTATGCATGTATGCATGCATGCATGCATGCATGTATGCATGTATGCATGTATGCATGTATGCATGTATGCATGTATGCATGTATGTATGTATGTATGTATATATGTATGTATGTATGTATGCATGCATGCATGCATGCATGCATGCATGTATGTATGTATGTATGTATGTATGTATGTATGTATGAATGTATGTATGTATGTATGCCAGTCAGCTCTTGGGAAGCGGGAGAGACAGGCAGGGGAAAGGGGGGGGCCTCAAGCGCTGTTCTGGCTCGACCAGCAGCGCGGGTGCAGGTGTGATGTCCTGGACCCTGGGCGACCGCGCCTTTGCCCGGATCGCGGGCGGCGGCGGTGGGATGCTCCAGGCCGTGAACGTAGGCGGGTTCATCGCGGAGGTCCACGAGGGCCAGCGGGTCTCGCTGGCTGTGCCTGCGCTGGCGGCTCGAGCTGTGGGAGGAGCAGCATACGAGGTGAGCGTTGCTGACTAGGACGGCTTGCCCACGCAGGTGGGCTTCGTGGTGGTGCCAACGAGGCGGCTGCGCACGGAGGCTCCTGAGGCATGGGACGACGATTACATGCACTGTGGAGCGAAACTGTTCGATACTGAGTCCCTGCAGGCCGCGCTGGTGTCGCTGGGCGGAGGCCTCCACACATCGTCAGCGGATGTGGAGGCGACGGCGGCGCCGCTTGCGCAAGGACCTCCTGCCGCGGGCCAGACAGCAGGGCCTGGCGGGCCACCCGCAGGCACCGTGCCAGCGGCAGGCAGCGCAGGCCTGCCTGGGCTGGACCGCCTGGTGGCGAGGGCCGCGCGGAGGCTGAGGCAGGCGGCTCCGCATGCCGACGGCAGCATCTCCTCGGGCTCCGAGGGCGAGCAACACCCCGCGCGCGCGGCGCCCCAGCGGGCGCAGGCGCAGCGGCGGGCGGGCGGCGGCGCCGACCGCAGGCGCCAGCTCACCAGCAGCGACGAGGAGGACTTCAGGTCGGCGGCAGGCAGTCCTGGCGCGCCACAGGCTGGTGCGGCAGCGGCGGCAGCGGCCCACCTGGACGCGCATGGCCTGCAGAGCCTGCTGCAGCTGCGGATGCTGGAGGTGCTCGAGAGGCTCGAGTCGGGCTAGAAGGTGAGCTTCTCGGGCGACGAGGACGACGGCATCGGCGGGCTCGGCAGCGTAGGGAAGGCCAGCAAGGCGGTGAGAGGCATGCGTCGCCAGCGCCAGCGCGTGCAGCGGCATCCTCTCCGCGTGGTGAAGGCCTACCGGAGCGAGGTGAAGCGGGCCCTAGGGGTGCAGCATGGGATGGCGTGGACATATCTCGACTACGGAAAGCGACGCATCCTCTGGGGCCGCCTCTACGACTTGAAGAAGACGTTCGCCGCGCTGGTAGCTGTGCTGGAGTATAGAGACAAAGACGAGTTCGACGAAGCGCGGCCAGCTCGTCCGGATCATGAAGGCGCTTGAGCAGGTGGCAATCAACCAGGGCTCGTGGAAGGCGGCCTGGCCTCTGTCAGGCCTGGTGGACCCCTGCAGCCGCCGCTGCTTCGCAGGGGGCGAGTTCGAGACGGAGGCCGTGGCTGCCTACGTCGCGGAGCTCGAGGCGCTGGTGTCGAAGATAAAGCAGCGGGGCAGCCTTGTGGCCAGCCCAGAGGACTCAGACCACTGCCCAGACGCCGACGCGGGAGCGGGCGCGACAGAGGCGCCCGGCAAGAGCAAGCGCGAGAAGAAACCCAAGAAGGAAAATACCTGAAAGGATCATCTCGTTCGACGGCGGGCTCGTGCTTGGGCGGGTGGGGCTTCTGGCGCAGAGGCCAGCTTCTTGTGGGCGCTCCGTTTGGACGTTTTATGCATTGGCACCGCAATGCGACGCTACAGTGCGAATCTACCGCAGGCGATGGGTTGCCTGCGTCAGCATTTCCTGGGCGTATTTCTCCCATGTCCATGCCCTTCGTGGACGCGGCGATCCGCGCAGCCCGAGAGGGTGCTGATCCCCGAGGTCGGAAGCAGTTGCGGCTGGCCGAGAGGGCGAAGCATCTCACGAACGTGCTGGTTCTCTTTTCCTCATGGGAGTGCGGATCCCCGAAGGCGAGGGCGAGCTTCCCTGACCTCCGCTAGTCTCCTGTGCGTAGGGTAGCTGTGGGGAACCTCTACCAGGATGTGTTTGCGTTTTGCCGTGCTGCTGGGCGCGGCGCCCGGCCGGCGCGAGGTCTTGCGAGGTTGCAGAAGTTTGGTCTCTGAATTGACGTCTCTACCAGGTGAAACTTACGACAGTTGGCCTCGTCCTGAATGTGAGCTTGGCTGGGGCATGCAAGTCGGACAGCTATCGGCGGACGCTGGCGCGGGCGTTGGGGGTGAGGCCCGAGCGCGTGAAGCTGAAGACCCTGGGGCCTGCCTGCGACCCGGCCGATCCCCTCGCGGGCAAGCAGCTCGAGGAGTGCATCGACTACCTGGACCGCTGCCTGGCCCCTGAGAGCTGGCCAACCAACTTGCCGCGGAGGTGCCGCCGCATCTCCGAGGACAACGAGGTGGCCCTGGCCCTGGACCTGCTGGAGCGGGGGGTGGGCGCTCTCGTGCTGGTTTGCCGTGGAGCACAGTGAGCAGTGGGGCCGTCTGATTCAGGATCGTCGCCCACAGAGTGCCGCAGAGGAGACGCCCGCCTGGTTGCAGCTGCCGTCGGGGGAGTAGCTGAAGTTGATCAGGTTGAAGTCGCCGTCCGAGCACGTCAGGGGCTCCGCGTGCGACCTCGAGACTTATTTCTACCAGGTGAAGAGGCCGACGGGCACGTGGGCTCGGGGTGTGACGGGGCGGCCGTGGCAGGGCCGCAAGTTGGGAAGGCGCGCAGCCGACCTTAATGCCTTCTAATACGTGGCGCTATCCGCGTGGTGCATGGGCGACGCCAACTCCTGCGGTGTTTGCCAGGAGACCGACGTGGGCATCTAGCAGAAGCACGGGTGCATGACGCCAGCCGAGTCATTGAATGCCCAGTTGACCGTGCCCGTCGGCAAGACATGGGATAACCACTACCTTGGCGGCCGCCTGACATTGCAGGTGTTCAAGGAGGCTGAGCGGGGCGAGAAGCAGCGCGATTCGGACTTCAACGAGCGGGCGGAGCAGGCTTGGGTGTCTGCGAACCTGCCCCGCTCGGTGTAGGAGGATGTCGTGGGGCAGCCCAACTTCGGCGCCTGGGGCGCCGAGGTGAGAGACGCCTCGATCGAGGCGGGCAGCCCGCTGTTCATGAGGCGGATTCTTGCCTCGTTGGAACTCGACGTTCTTGAGAGCAAAACAGTGACGAAGGAGATGTTTCGAACGATTTTGGCCAACTTTGTTTCTCCATTCAGTCACCGTCGTGAGTTGTTTGTTTGCTTCCTTCGATCGTTCACATGGTTGGAGAGTTTTCGTTGGGGGCATGAAGTTGTGGAGATTCCCGCTGATATGCGAGACGAGCTGTTCGCTGCCGCCGCCCTCCTGTCGATGGCCGTGGCCCATGTCAGTTTGCCAGTTGACTCGGAGGTCTCGGCCAGCGGCGCCGCCGAGGGCTCTTGCGGGTCCTGCTCCGCGAGGGCCCCCGGGAAGATCTCCAGGGTGCTCTTTAGGGTCGGGGCTGAACGGGGGGGGCGCGTTAGGCTCGACTGGAACGAGATAGACCAGGCGCTCTTGCCAACTAGGATGCGCCGCCCCGGCGACGACCTAAACGAGGCCTTCGCGAGCTTCGATTGGACGGTGCGACGGGGGGGAGGTTTAGCAAGCAGAGCCGCATCAACCTGCAAGAAATGAGGGCCCTCAAGGGCGAGATCAGGCGGAGGGGGGGGCCTCGCTACCGGGGCATCCGTGGCTACGTCTGGGACGTGTACAACAACGCGGTGCGGTGATGCTGGTGGAGGTTCTTGGAGGCGCGAGGGGGCTGCGGCGTCGCGTGCCCGTGCTTGTGCAGGAACGACGTTTGTGGGTGGGGTCGATGGCCGTGTGTGTGTGTGTGTGTGTGTGTGTGTGTGTGTGTGTGTGTGTGTGTGTGTGTGTGTGTGTGTGTGTGTGTGTGTGTGTGTGTGTGTGTGTGTGTGTGTGTGTGTGTGTGTGTGTGTGTGTGTGTGTGTGTGCAGGAGCGTGTGGTAAAGGGCGCTCGTCTTCATTCAAGCTAAACGGTGTATTGCGATCGATGATGCCTTATCTCTTCAGCACTCGCTGCCACGTGGCTCTAGTCTGGATCGGGGGGCACTTCGTCCGGACCGACGCGCCCTCCCGCTTTAGGCCGCTGCCCGCCGCGGGCCCGCCGCCCGCGTGGATAGAAGCCAGCGGGCGAGAGGCGGAGGCAGCAGTCAGCCGAGCCACGAGCCGCCAGTCAGTGGCAGCCGCCCGCCCGCCTCGGCCGCCCCGTGGGGGGCGGCAGCGAGCAGGCCGGGTGGCGGCAGCTGCCGGCCCGGCGGCCGAGGGCGAGAGGGGCTGCGCGGTCGTCGAGACTGTCGAGGCGCCGAGGCCGAGCTCATCGTTCTTGTGGTCCGTCCCGCGTGGGCGGACAGGCCTCTGGCCGAAGCGTGAGTACTTCGCGGGCTCCACCGCGGTGGCGCGTGCCTGGGCAGCCGCGGGGGCTTGCGTGGGGGCGCCGCTGGATGCGTTCACGCCAGACGGCTGCCAGCCTGATCAGGACTTGCTGCGAGTGGTCAGCGTGCGCCGGGAGCTGGGGCGGATCCGAGATCATGCCGTGCGCGTGGGGGTCTGGGCTACTCCCTGCACCTCCTTCGGGCTGCTTTACCAGAATTGTGGCCCGGGTACTCGCGCGGCTGCTCGGCCGGAAGGCGACGGCTCGCGGCCTGCCGAGCGCGAGGGCAGCAGCCTGGCCGCCACCGCCGCGGCGGGCTGCCGCGCGCTTGGGGAGGGGGGCGGCCTCTGGGTGGTGGAGGGCCCCCGCCGCTCCTGGCTGTTTCGCTGGCCCACGATGCAGAGCCTGCTGGCGAAGGAGGGGGGTCTATCTCGTGGAGTGCGACATGTGCCAGTTCGGGCTCAGACCTCCCCAGTCGCGCTACAAGAAAAGCACACACCTGCTGGGGAACTTCGCGGAGCTCAAGCTCCTGGGCAGGCGTTGCCGAGGCACCTGCAGGCGCGTGCACTTGGAGGGGGGCGTCGAGGTGGCCGGCCGCTGGCTTAAGCGAGCGGCGTTGGCGGCAGCCTGTTCGCGCGAGCGCTGGCCGCGGCGCTGGCTGCTGCAGAGAGGAGGCTGCGGAGCTCGCCAATTCCGGTGGGGCCGCAAGATGTCCGCTATCTTGGACAGCACCCTGGGCTTCCCCGGGGAGGGCCCAGGGCGTGAACCCACGCGACGCCGAGACCTGCAGACCTGCCTGCGTGGGGAGGCGCACGCGGCGAGGCTCGTCCCAGCAGCGGAGGCGATGACGGCCTACGGCAGGGTGCACGGTTGGGGCAGGCTCGATCGTTGGCTGCCGCCAGCTTCGCGTGCCCAGATGCCCAACCGCTTGTTTGAATTCGTGCAGTTTCTTTTTAATGAGAAGAGATCGATCGCAGAGGCCAGGTCCGACATCCTAGTGATACAGCAGCGCCGCCCTGAACTGCGGGGGCACTCGGGCGGGGCCTGGGATTCCGTTCGGTCCTGGGCGTTCGGAGAGGTTTCTCAGACCCGGACGCCGATCCCGCAGGAGATCCAGCGGGTGCTGCGACGCTGGGCGCTAGCCACGGCGCTCCTGCTTTCGCGACGCCCCTGCTTGGTCCCGCTCGAGTACAGCATCTTTGTGCGAGTGGCAATGGGCGGCCTTCTGCGGCCGGGTGAGGGCGCCAAGTTCAAAGACAGTGTTGCTTACTAGGCCCTCCAGTTGCCTGGCTCAGATGGTGGATGAATCGTATTGGGCGTGATGCTGTGTTTCCTTCTGGCTATTCGGGCCTTCGACAGGTTCACATCAGCCTGGTAAGACAATTTTGTATCCCACATTTCACACTTGCAGGGCTCAGAGCGGGTGGGGCTGCTTATCTGTTTATGCGCACCAGGAATATTGCTTGGGTGAAGCTCCATGGGGGATGGGCATCTGAGAGATCTTTTGCACGTTGCATTCAGGAAGCCAATGCCGCCGCAGCCTCGTTCGATCTCGAGCCTGCGATTGCCGACGCTTTAGACCGCGTCTGGGCGCAGTTTCGTTGTCTGAATGTCGGGCCGCCCCGTGCCTGGGCCCATCGGCAGCGCGCCTCAGGATTTCGGCGACGAAGCTTCTGGAAGCGGCGGGCAAAGTCGAGGTGGCCGCGGGCAAAACAGCGCTTGGAGAGTCAGTTGCTGCAGTCTTCGACGGGAAGCAGGACTGTGCGAAGCAAGTCGCCTCTCGACAGGGTCAATGTGACCATTTAAAAGTCTTGCGGGCTAATGCTCAGGCGCTTCAAACCTTGGAGGGGCTGAGCGCTGTCATGCCCGAGATGGCGTGCGAGGGGCCCCTGAAGGATGGCGACGAGGCTGGGGGCCCTCAGGATGCGCTGGTCGCGGTCGGCCTCAAGTGCATCGCCAGGGCTGCTAGTGCTGGCAAGGGTGCCCAGCCTTCGTGTTGGGCGCTCGTGCTGTCCTGGTCGGCTTCGGCGGGCACCTGGTGGTCTCTCCTGCGCCTGCTGTTGCTGGGCGACTTCGTCCAGAGCATCCTTGACGGCCGCTACTTCAAATCCTTTTTCGGTCCGTTCCTCAGCATCGTGTGCGTAATGCTGTTCTATCGACCTGATCTGGTCTTGGACTGTGTGGCGAGCCTCATCCTGGGCATGATGGAACATGTTGCAGACCGCTCACTGGCCAGTGTCTATCGTTTGGGCCGGCGTGGTGCCGACGCTGTCTCTTCGGCAGCGACCAAGACGCAAGACGTGGCTGAGCTAGTGGTAGTGACAATGGAGAATGCTTCGTCCGTATGGGACAATCTCTCAGCGCGCCTCGACCGCGCTGTTGACTTCGTCGTGCCCGCGTACGGGTTGATGCAGTATTCGAATAGACTGCTGAGATGGCAGTGGGCAAGAAGACAACTGAGATGCTTGACGCAATCCCAGATCAGTTGCAGTCAGAGGCTGTTGACATTGTCGAGACCGTGGCAGACGCGATTCTGCCGACGCCGCCAGCTACGCCTTTGGTTGCGTCGCCACCACCTGTGCTGCTGTAGCCAAAATCCAAGGGCTGGGCAAAATATGTGCTAGCTCTGTTCATCGGTGGCTGGGCGCAGCGATACCTCAGAGGCTGGCGCCGTCATCCGAGAATCTCGGTCACTCACGTTGCAGTGCGTATCTGATTGTGCGAGCTTCGCTCGTGAATGTGAATGAGGGGTGCTCGCTAAGCTTCGCATGCCCGGCCGCCCGCCCGTTGGAAGGAGGGGCTGGCAGTTGTGTGTTTGAGGTCGCCGAGGTGGCGACCATGCTGGCCGCGCCAGACGTCAGACTGGGATCGCGGCCGGCCAGCCAATGGCTTTGATTTGGGTAAGCTTCGAGGACTGACGTGCTCGTGTCGCGTGAAATCGTGCACGCGAGTGTGTTGTCATCTGTGCAGCCCTGACGGGCCAAGCTCTCCGCAGGTGTTCCCGCCCAGTCGAGCTGGACTAGACCTGTCAGTTAGCTCTTGGGAGGCGGGAGAGACAGACAGGGGAAAAGGGGGGGGCCTCAAGCGCTGCCTCCACTGTGTCGCATGAAATCGTTGACCCGAGTGTGTTATCATTTGTACAACCCTGACGGGCCAAGCTCTCCGCAGGGATCCCCGCCCAGTCTATTTGGACTGGAGCTGTATATATATATATATATATATATATATATATGTATGCATGCATGTATGTATGCATGTATGTATGTATGTATGTATGTATGTATGTATGTATGTATGTATGTATGTATGTATGTATGTATGTATGTATGTAAGTATGCATGCTCGTATGTGTATACGTGTTTTTATACTCATATTTGCATATGTGTATCGAGTTACATGCATATACCCAGACAGTTCCTCTGGGTGGCGGCTTTTTTGGGGGGGGGGCCAGCGACACGGGGGGGGGGCCTCACCGTCTTCGGCCGCCCTCCGAGGGGAGCTCTGCTGCTCGGGCCAGGGCTCGGGCTCAAGTGCTCCGGGTCGGGCTCTAGCTCGGTCTCGGGCTCGTTTTCGGGTTCGAGCTCGGGCGCGGGCCCAAGACCGAGATGCCCGCTCCTTCTCCTGGCAGCTGCTGCGGCGGCGCCGGGACCGCCACGCTCCGAGCCTCGCGGCCTGGCTGGAGAGCCCTGCGCGAGGACGCGCGCACCCCCCTCTGCGCCTCGGGCGGCGACGGAGGGCACTTGCCGGGGCCCCGAGCATAGGTTCTGGCACGACGGGCTCCTCATAGAGTCGGCATGTTTTGTGTCTGGGTGTCGTTGTTGCTGTTGTTGTTGTTGTTGTTGTTGTTGTTGTTGCTGTTGCTGCTGTTGTTGTTGTTGTTGTTGTTGTTGTTGTTGTTGTTGTTGTTGTTGTTGTTGTTATTATTATTGTTTTTGTTGGTGTTGTGGTTGTTGTGGTTGTTGTTGTTGTTGGTGTTGTTGGTGTTGTTGTTGTGGTTGTTGTTCTTGTTGTTGTTGTTGTTGTTGTTGTTGTTGTTGTTGTTGTTGTAGTCGTCGTCTTTAATTTTTTTTTTCTGGCGACATCTCCGGTCATCGTGCCCGCCCTCCCTCTGCCCCTGATAACCTGACCTTGCCGGTTGCGCAGGTCCGAATGGGGGATCGAAGTACTGCTGTGCGCGGGCACTCGCGGGGCCGCCCAAGTCG